GAAGGTGTGATTCTGTTCTCCTTCTCACTTCCCCTCCCTGGTCCACCCCACAAATATCTAAATGTACATCAACCTGATTAATTTTAAAGTAGTCAAAACTGCAGCTGCAATTTCAACTCCCCTGCCCCATCCAAATACATATGGTGGAGGATATCCACAGTCAAGATATCCTCTCATAAGCAATCTGAATTGATGGGTAACTCCTGCCACTAGATGTAACTTCTTTTTCCCTTCAATTTAGGAGAATAAATCTGAATGTAAGCATGGAATTATAGAGGCCGTGAATCTTCTATAAGGATCTCTGGTGGCATAATGCCTAATTCCTGCATAACTGCCAGAAGGTTGGCAGTTCAAAGCCCCCAGCCACTCCGCGGAAGGAAGACTGGGTAATCTACTTCTATAAAGATTTACTGCTTTGGAAACCCAAAGGGGGTCACTATGAGTTGGAATCGACTTGATGGCAGTGAGTTTGGTTTTGGTGTTTTGAATCATCTATAATGTTTCTTTAATTTTGTAGTTTTATGATTATCTGTAAATTAATTTTTTCATCTTTAGTTGAAAGCCAATCATTGCCCTACAGATCTCTAGAGGGGTAGATGTGACTGAATCTCAATCACTTTATATTCATACTCCTTTTAAACTACTCTATTGTTGTTTGTTATGTACCAACGAGTTGTCTCTGACTCTTAGTGACCTTATGTACAGCAGAATGAAACTGCCTAGTCCTACTGTACCTGAGCCCATGGCTGCAGACACTATATCAAACTATTCTATTGTTTCTTAATTCTCCTCTCCCTTTTGAGATAATGACATTTGATAGCATGGCAAGTCACATATGCAAAAGACTCACATGGGTGTGCCCATGGACCTGGATGCTGCACATATTAAGAATAACCCTCAGTTCAGTAGATGGTGCCCAGCTATCACTGTCAACTACTTGGAGGGGGATGTATGTAGATCAGGGGTAGAGTGGGAGAACAATGTGGAACAAAACTCAAAATCATTTAAAAAAGAAAAAGTCAGACCTTTTTGCTGGTCTCATAGAGCCTGGTGGAACCACTGACGCTGTGGCCCCTAGCTGCCCTTTAGGTCCGGAATTGAACACACTCCTACAGCTTCCAGCCAAACAAAAGACAGGCATATGAGCTGAACATTTACAATAGTTAGATACACTCCTTGGAGAGATCAATCATGGGAGAATAGAAGGGCTGTGCATGCACAGGGAGACAGCTCGGGGGGCAGGAGTGCATGAGAGGGAAGGACACAGGGAAGAGGTAACTATGGGGAGGAAGTGGGAGGCGAGTTGTTGCATTGTGGGAAATTGCAGTCAGTGTCATGAGACAAAGTGTATGTAAGCTGCTGTGTGGAAAATGAATTTTCTCTGTAAACTTTCACCCAAATCACAATTAAAAAAAAAAGAAAAAAAAAAGAATAACCCCCAGTTCAGGTAGATAACATGGGAGGTCTGGAAAAGCCTCTTAAAAGGAATGCCACTTCTGCATATCCTCAACATCCAAGGGAAGAAGCAGGAATCCAGACCAGGAACTCCCTCTGTCCTAGCATCTGACAAACAGGAAAATGACTATAAAAGCCATAACCTCACAACAGGAAACAAATCTGGTACTGATTTCTCACCAAGTTGACATGTGACAAAAGTCATACTCACATTTTCAGGAGTGTGCACTTTTACATTATTATAGTTTTTTCCTGCCAATTGCTTGAGAGCTAAGAGGTATCCTGGCATCTCTCTCTCTCTCCCAGGGTTCCCAGTTTATTTTCATTATTCACCTGCCCAACACCCCAATTAGACTGAGGCGTAATAGCAAAAAAAGCAGGAAGGAAAATTAATATTTTCTACATGGGCCTCCTCATCGTGCGTAGATTTATGAATTTCATTTCTGTTATGCAAAAGTTAGCATTTTTAACAATGGGGGGGGAGTTTGTTAATTGTTTTTTATTGCCTCAAGAGTTCCAAAGACATCTTGTGCTATGTCATCATTTACATTTCACATCAAATGCAAAATGTATTTGAAATGAGCAAATATTTGTTTTAATTTGATCCATCTGTTAACTGAAGTACTAAAAAGACAGCTAAATCACTATATTAAATTCAACAATTTGTAAACAATTTATATGTTCATTTGTTCTGGGTTAAAAATCCCCCAAAGCAGAAGTTTTATGAAACTCACAAAGTAAATTGCATTGTATTAATCTGATGGATGCAGGCCCTGATTTCCTCCTCTTCACTCCATTAATTTATTTCCTAACTTGAGTTAATTAGTGAGGCTCCTATTTTTTAAAGTTCTTTGAAATTCATTGAGGGAGAAGGACAGTTGCAAGAACTGCTTTGAAACCCTACTGCAGAGGAAACAGGCTAAATACAAACGGTGAACTCCAAGACATTAACTCACGTTGTGCACCTGATTGCCATTCAACAATCTATATGCCGGGAACACAATGGGTGATTAATAATATAGTTGTTCAGAGAAAAATCGAGAGAGCTAGAATGGAAAAATAAGAGCAGCAGCAGAACAAACTCATACCAGACAATCACTAACAGGATGACATGGTCTCCAAGGTCTTTCCTATCTTAAAATAAAGGTCTGTGACATTCTGATTTCATGCTATAAAATTGGGACTGGGTTTAACTTGGAGCAATACCAACTAGAGGGGAGAAGAGACATCTATTCAGAGAAATATAAAACAACCACCACCACCCAACAGAATTTGGTCAAATAGAGAACAAAGATAAATCAATTACTTTTCCTTTTTGTCAAAGGAAGCCTCTGTTTCAGTTAGACTGGGAGATAGTGGGAGACTACTGCATCCGTTCCAAATTGTCTTTCTAGGTCGTCCTCTACCCTCTAATATTTATCCACTCAAACCAGTGCCCTTATCAAAAACACACACACTAAGAGGAAAGGAAAAAAATTAATTTACTCTAAGTATACATTAAAGGAGCTCTGGTGGTATAATGGTTAAGGCACTAAGCTGCTAACCGAAAGGTCAGTGGTTCAAACCTAGCAGCTGATATAGGGAAGATAAATGAGGCAATCTGCTTCCATAACGATATCCAGTCTTGGAAACCCAATGGAGGTAACTATGAGTCAGAATCAAATGGATGGCAATGAGTTTGGTTTTTTTGTTGTTGTTGTTGGGGGTGGTTGTGGGGGGAATATACATTGCTGTTAACAGTTTAAGATACGCCTTCACTGGGCTAGAGAGAAGCCTTTAAACAGATGTTGAAATTGTAATCAAAAGTGCTGTCCACTGCTTCCTTTACTATTTTGGACAGTAGGTAAGAGAGACTGAGTTGCATTGGCATCACCCACCACGGATCGCCTACTCTAACTTCCAGAAAGGCTGGCCCTCATAGGCAGCAACACCACCAACCTAACCTAATCAGTACCATCCTTGTCAAGTTCCTGCCTTATTTCATAATACTTTCACCACATGCCTGTGAAAGCCACTGGGCAGAAATTGATTTCCCTGTCCTGAGAAGCAGGGTTAGAATCTTGTGCTGCCTGTGAGTTAATTTTGTGAATGTTCTCTAAGGCTCAATTTCCTCTGCTATAAAATGGAAATATAAATTGCCAAGCAGAGCACCTGACCAAAAAAAAAAAAAACCAAATTTACTGCCTTTGAGTCCATTCTGACTCATAGCGACCCTTATTGGGTTTCCAAAGCTATAAATCTTTATGGAAGTAGATTGCCTCATCTTCCACGGACCTTCTGGTTAACAGACAAATGCCTTACCACTATACCTTCTTATGAACTCCCTCCTCTTGTTTTGTAAAGACAGAGAAGTGAAGTCAGCTGGTCATGGACACCCCAAGGCTAGACCAAGAACTCAGTTCTTCCCATCTTTCTTCAAGTGCCTTCAAATTTTCTCTCATGTTTAACTCCTGGCCCTGAAACCTGTTACTCAGGTTTCCCACACCAAAACAAACAGCACCATGATTTAATCCTTTTCCTGACTGCCACATTGGTAAGGAAAAGAAGAGGAAACGTTTGTTTTAGCAACTCTCCCTTGACTCACGCGCACAATACTATCTTTTTCTTTTCTCTGCTAAAATATTTTTTTAAAAAAGCTTTGCTTACACACACTTTGGCTCTCTGTTAAAGCCACATGTCCCAAAAGGTAGTGACCAGGCCCCTCCCATGAAGGCTCTTGACATTACAAACCACAGCCTCCCTTTCCGATACAGAGAAGGCCCTAAGCTTAAATACTTGCATCACAACAGAAGTTTGGAAAGCAAACAGCATTGTGTGTGTAAATTGGGTATTCTGGGTCATCAATCACGTTCTGGAATCTCTGCAGCCAGACTTTCTAAATCAGCCAAAACAGGCTGTCTGCCCTTGGCATATTTTTCTACTTCCATAAGGAACAAATAGACTATAATGTGAACCCAAGCACTACCCTGGGGAGGGCATGTCTAAGAATTTCAGCTTCCTAAGACTGGGCTAGAAGATCACTCTGGGGATATAAAATAGCAACCTGAAGAGTGTGTGTCCATGGCATCCTTGCATCTCCAAAGGAGAGAAATGGGAATAAAATCTAATTGCCGAGAAAGGTTCTCCAGAGTAAAGATAGTCTTGATATGAATGCTCTCTTTCATATCACTTTGGAGGAATTTGGTCCTTTACAAAGGACTTTCACCTTGCTGGGGTTACCTAATTTGATCACATACTTCCCAGTTGGTATTATTACCCCCCATTTAACACAAATGTTCTGTGACTTTCCTGAGGTCAGAGTGTTTTGTAATATACCCAGATCTCCCTGCCTGGTCTATTGCTCTTTTCATTATAACCCACCACAAATCCCCATACCACAGGAAAGAAACATTCTAAGACTCAGATAGTTCCCTATTTCTGCTTTAGGACTGACTCTTCAGCTTAAACAAGCAGAGGAGCTCTTTTTTTTTTTTTACACTTTGAGGACAAAACCTCCGGTTTAGAGGACCAGAGGGATTTGAGGGCTGCCTCTACCCAGGACTTACTCAGAAAGATGATGATCTGCCTCCTGGCCGTCCTGCTTTCCTCACTTTCTGACTTCCTCAGCTGTGTCTGCCGCCCCTTCCCAGCCACTGTGCCCTCTTTGCTTCTCTTGAGCACCTGCATCATGTTCCAGCACATGAAGGCCACAGAGACCAGGACCACAAGGTAGATGATGAAGGCACTGAAGATGCTGGACTGATACACAGGCCAGCGGCTGGAGAGGTTGGTACAGATGGACATGTTGGAGGTCTCAGGCTGCTCATGGTGGCGAGTGAGGGTACGGTTACAAGTGAGACCCCGGTGACTTGGCACAGTCACCAGGGGGTACTCAATACCCATGGCAAAAAGCAAAGGCAATGCCACCAGGGCAGAGGTGACCCAGACGAAGCCAATCAGCAACTTCACCTGGCAGGGCCCTGATACAGCCTTATACCTGAACGGGTGGCAAATGGCAACATAGCGCTCAAAGCTCAGTGTCAGGACGTGCAGCAGTGTGGCATAGCTACAGGTCTCGAACAGGAACGTGTGAAGCTTACAGGACAGGGCATAGCTGGGTGTAGTCAATGGGTTCCAGATGATGCTGTAGAATTCCATGGGCATGCCAATGAGAAAGACCAAGATATCGGAGCAAGCCAGGCTCACCATATGATCCGTGACCTCTTTCTGTAAGTAGCCTTTCTTCTGCAGCACCTGGGTCACCCGGATGGTTATGCTGTTCCCTAGGATGCCCACCACAAAGATGAGCAGATACACCACGATGAGGATGATTTTGATCCAGGTGGCCACTTCAAAAGCTGGAACGTGGCTGTGATCGATAACATGGGAGCAGTCATTCCTGGGGCCACTGGGTGAAGCCATGAGCAAGAGAGTCAGACACCTCAACTTTCCTTTCTCTTCTCAGAAGAACTCAAAGACCTTGCCTGTGACTCACCGGAGCGGACACAGGATGCTCCCTTACCTGACTTCACCTGCGAAAGGGAACTTAGAATTTCAGGTGCTTTCATGGAAACTTCCTGGAGCAGCTCAACCTAGGAAAGCCTCCAAGGTGCCTGGCAAATGGCGGAGGAAGAAGATTCTAATCTCCCAGGCTAGGAGTGAGACCCGCAGCCATTGGACGCTCTTCGTCTCTCGGCTCCCCTACCAGCCGCCTGCTATTTGCCGCCCCAGCCCCCCCTCCCCTCCAGGAACACCCTCCCTGCAGCTTTGGAAGGCAGCTTGGTCAGTGATTAATGATTAACTAACCACTTCAGGCTGTGCTCTGCGACTGGCTGCAGACCCAGAGTGGGGGTGGAGGGTGGGGTTGACTCAGCGCAATAGACCTGATCCCCGAAACCAGATCTTGGCTCCTGATCACAGCGCGAGTGGAGGGCCACCTCCCACGACGCACACGCGGACAACACGGAACCAGCCATCACCGTCTGCCAGATGAACACGCTAGGGAGCTGCAGCCCTGGAAGCTGGAGTGCGCTCCCAGGCTTGGAAGCCAAGGCTGAGAGTAGAGAAAGACGTACTCCCCCTCCTCTTTCGGGCAGCCTCTCTGAGGCCTCTTCAACGTTTAATCTTCCGCCAGTTTGCAGGCTGCTGGAACCGAACGCAGGTCTCTGCTGCTGAGACCTCCTACCTGCCAGCAGGCCACCCTAGAGGAGCCTGCTGGCGTCAGCCTCCCTCGGGTCCTGCTTTTGGGGCATTTGAGGTTGTTTCCAGTGCATTGCGTTCCTTGGAGCTGTCTGTTGTCTCAGGCAGTCAGCTCTAAGTAGTCTAATATCCATTGCCTTCGAGTTCATTCTGACTCATAGCAACCCTATAGGATAGCACAGAACTGCCCCATAGGGTTTCTAAAGCTGTAATCATTTCACAAGTGCACTGCCAGAGCTTTCTCCAGCAAAGAGGCTACTGGGTTTGAACTGCCAAACTTTTGAGTGCCTAATCACTGCGCCACCAGGGCTCCTTACACAGGAGAATTGTTGTTGCTTGCCGTCCAGTCGGCCCAACTCATTGGGACCCCTCCTTGCGTTTCCGAGGCAGTATCACTATGGAAGTACATTGCCCTATCTTCCTTCTGAGGAGTGGCTGGTAGGTTTGAACCGCCAGCCTTCTGGTTAGCAGTCAAGTGCCTTAGGCACTATGCTACCAGAGCTCCTAAGCAGGAGAGTAGGATTCCCATAAAAGCTCTGTCTTTCTCCCAAACTTCCCCGTGTCCTGTGTATTCTCACCAGAGGGACCCAGTAGGTAGCATGGGGATCCCTCCTTTCAGTTTCACTCTGTGACTCTGGTTGCTCTTCTTGTAGCTTCAGGAAGCCTTTAACTGGGGACATGTATTTAGAAGACTCAATGGCAGAGGGTTAATACAGAAAAGGATGCACAATCGTCCAGGAGGATGCAAGTGGAGAAGTGGGCCTCCCAAGGGGCCTAGACATTAACAGCACAAAGTCTGTAAAGGGGTGCAGAGTGAAACAGCATTAAGGACCATGGCATTTCCCCCTTCTTCAGAATAAGAGGAACAACTCTAAGGGGTTCCCTTTTCATCTTTCAACTTCAAAATTAGAAGACTTAGGGCAGGACTGTTTTGTGCATTGGGGGTGTTCAGCAGCATCCTAGTCTCCAATCCCAAGATGCCAGTAACACCCTCCACACATACACAGTGCGAAAAACAAAAATGTCTCCAGATATTGCCAAATGTGCCCTGGGGCAAAATCTCTCCAGATTGAGAACCAGTGCTTGAAGGAATAAAACAGATCCCTAATACAAACAATAATTCATTTTATCAAGTGTGTATCATGTGCCAAGGAGTCTGGAGGTAGTGAAAAATGAGTAGGTGCTCTCAAACCCACTCAGAGGTTTCTGGAAATAAATGCCTAGAGATCTGCTTCCAAAAAAATCAGCCACTGAAAATCCTACGGACCACAGTTCTACTGTGACGCACACGACATCACCATTAGTTGCAGTCAACTCCATTGCTACTGGTTTAGTTTGGTTGGTTTGCCATGTCAGGTCCTTGTGTCAGAACATCTTTGTCACAACCCTCCTGTGTTATGATCATTTTACAGATAGAGGATGGTTCTTTCCCAAGACCTTAAAAGAGTGAGAGTCTTGACAAGCAACCTAGATACGTCCCAGCTTTGAGGCCACACACCTAACCATGTCAGAATACTGGGAGCGCAGTAGGTGCTTGAGAAATGTGTCCCAAATGAATGCACATAGACGTGGAGGCTGTATTTTCTGAACCTAGCCCTGGACACATGATCTGACAACCTGAAAGAATATTTGATTTTGATACCATCTGGGGATGGTGATCTTGGAAATAAGCCATAGAGCCACTAGCTCTTTGCAATTAGCTCTGTATGGGGTTCTAGTTATAGTCTTTATTTTACTTTTCTGTTATTTCACAAGCTCCCAGAGCTAAGGACTGTATTTCTTTCTCTCTGATATATTTCCACAACACCCCAAAGTAGTGTTGACTCACCTGCTGGTGGAATGGCAAACCCCTAACTCATTTCCCTAAGGATGTCCTTACTGTGCTTAGCTCAAGAACCAAGACAGCATTGTATCTGTCCCCTAAAGCTCAATTGGATAACGTGGATCCTTGGGGCTTTCATGACTATAGATCAGAATCCTGATTTGACTCCCCTGGTTCTTTGCTGTCCTTGACTTGAGAGGTCCCTGGTTGAAAAGAAAGTCCACCATACCCACACCTCTCTCTCTCTCTCTCTCTCTCTCTCATACAAGCCTATTCCTGTCCCACTTCTTTCTTCTCAAAGCTGTAAACAAGCTGGGAAACTCACAAGTAAGTATTCCTCATCCTAGCCGTAGAGGCCATTCTCCTCTACATCATTCTCTGAGCCACTATTATATTCAGGCACTTCACATAATGCATCTCTTTCAATCCTTACAGGCTGCAAGGTGGATATTATTATGTCCATTTTACAGATGAGGATATTGAGGATGAGCAGGTTAAGTGACCTGCCAAAAAGAGTCAGAGGTAGGATTCAAACCCAAGTCCATCTAGTGGCAAAGCACTTTGCAGTGCATGATGCTATCTTCCTGTGCAGAACAAGGCTGGGACAGGCAGAAGAGCAGCATATTGGAGAAAGGGATATTTTTAGTCACCAAACCCAGTGCTTCTCATCTCCCTGGCTGCAGCATGCCAGTTACCATGCCACATATTTGATAATTTCAATTTGTTCTGCTCAGACACGATTTCTATTATTGTCCAATTCCTTTCATCAAATTTTTCTTGCCCAAAGTGTGAACAAAGATTGCAAATGCATGGCCAAATGGTGAGAATCAAGCTAATTAAAATTCTGTCCTTATAGTTGAGCTAGAAATGGGCATTTTGAATAAAGGTCCAGGAGTATTAAATTTTCATTTCACCTTTGCTTTTCCTAAGACCAGTTAAAATCTGTCCAATGTGCCCTCATTTGTTGATAACAGACTGGTATAGCACCTGGCCTGGGTTTGTGTTATCTAGGTAATTTTATTAGGAGCTCTGGTAGTGTAGTGCCTAAAGCACTTCACTGCTAACCAGCCACTCTTCAGAAGGAAGGTTGGGCAATCTACTTCCATAGTGATACTGCCTCGAAAACCCAAGGAAGGATTACTATGAATTGAGTCTGACTCAACAGCACATAACAACAACAAGGTATTTTTATTAGTATTATTTTGGATGCAACAAACGCAATGCACTGCCCTCGAGTCAAATCTGACTCATAGCAACCCCTCCTTGGGTTTCCAAGGCAGTATTACTATGGAAGTAGATTGCCCATCCTTCCTTCTGAGGAGTGGCTGGTGGGTTTGAACCTCCAGCCTTCTGGTTAGCAATCAAGTTCCTTAGGCACTACACTACCAGAGCTCCTATATTTGCGGGGGTGAGGGGAAGGATGAGAAATGAGAGGAAAAAATATGTTAGGTACCGTTTGATTTACACTCTATTCAGGGTTCACCCTAGGGCCTACAGAAATTTGTATTCACATTCAACACAATCTAGATAACCTTTGAAGTCATCTAGGTCAGTGGGCTTTATACTTATTTTAGCATGAAATATTATCTTACAATGAAATCTGACACTAGCACCCAAAGTAAAAGCACATGCATATATACACACATATATATGGTACTTTTGTAAATTTACATTGATTCTATATGATCAAATTGATAACATTTACTCTTTTAAAGTCAATCAACAATATATACCCTAAAAAGTAAATACTATTTTGTTTACAAAGATCCATGGTAAAATCACATTACTATACATTAAGCTACAAAGAAGACTTCAATACTTTTTTTAAAATTATAAGCTGTGTAGATAACATTCTTTATTTACAATGCAATATAATTAAAATTATTCAGAAAGCTGAAACAAAAAACTACCACCTCAAGAAATTTTAAAATCTCGGAAACAACTCTTGTTAAAGAAGAAATCAAAACCAAAACTTCAGAATATGTAGGGAACAGTAACCACAGAAATGCTGTTCCTATAAGAACTAGCTAAATCAGTCCTCAAAGAAGAATTCATAGTCCTAAATATTTATGCTAAAAATAAAATAAATGGAGTTATAAAAAGAATAACAAAATTAAGGAAGACAATAAGAAGGAATTAAAAAAGATAAAAGTAATTATAAAAGAACCAGATAGAATCAATAAATAAATCCAAAAACTGTTTAATGTACTTCTGCTTCTGGCTACAAGGAGTAACTAATGTAAGACTGTCTCCCTCCCCTTCCAGGACAGACTATGATCCATCAAAAAAGAGAAACTAATCAGGTGAGCGTTATGATTGCCCAGCTCTCTCCTTGAAAACACTTTCCAGACCACGGCTAACAGTGGAAGTTGAATTAAGGATACAGAGAGGGGAGTTTGGG